TAACAGACTATATTACTGCCTATTTCACTCAGCATTTTTAATAGAATTTCATTTTAGTTATACATATTTGTGCAAATGCATATGCTGCATATAAAATGTATTTCTTACTATGTGCCAAGTTAAAAAATTCAATATAATTGTATAGAACAGAAGTATGTAAACTTTTGGTTTCTGTGGGTCATATTGGATAAAGAAGATTCAATTTGTGGTGGAAATGATGGTTCAGAGGTAAAGAGCATGGGCTGCTCTTCCAATTCACATGCAGGCAAAAAACTCATAACATAAACTAAAATTAAGAATACACACACACACACACACACACACACACACCTCTGCCTTCCTAGTGCTGGGATTAAAGGCATGTGCCACCACCTCCCAGCAATAAAATAAAAAATAGGAATTTAAAAAATTGTTTTGGGGGCACTCATTAAACACACAAACACTAATGAAAGCTGATGAACAAAAATAATGTCTGTTTATTAGTCTCATGTAGCCCAGGCTGTCCCGGAACTCATTACGTAGGATGACCCTACGTAACGGCCATGGAGGACTTCCGCCTGTGCCTCCTGAGATTGTAAGTGTCCATCGTCATTCTTGGTTTGTTCAGAGCTGGACATCAGACCTAGAGCTCATGTGTTGTGTTAGACAAGCACTTGCCAGCTGAACTACATTCCCAGCGTTGAGAGTGCTGTTGTGTGCATCTGTATGCGTTCATATGGGTAGGTGTGTGCAGGTGTTACGTGGAGAGTGCTGTTGTGTGCATCTGTATGCGTTCATATGGGTAGCTATGTGCAGGTGTTACTTGGGTATTGTGACTTATAACCTATCTACCTGATTTTTTGAGACAGGATTTCTCAGTGAGTCTTGGGATTTGCTGTCTGGGCGAGGCTGGCTGCTCAGTGAGCCCTTGGGATCCTCTTGTTTCTGCCTCTCCAGTGTTTGGATTATGAGTAAATATGCCTCAGAGCCTGCCTTTTTCATGTGTGCTGGAGAGCGAGCTCGGGCTCGTGGTGGTTGCAGTGGAGACTTAACCAAGTCATCTCCGCTCCATTTGGAGAGCAGTTTAAAATCATCAAGCAGGTTCCAATCTGCAGCCACTAATACATACAAGGAACACATTTAAGTAAAAAAACCAAAAAACCAAAAAAAA